AAGAAGGCGAGGACATCCTCTTAAATCATGATTTTCGATTAGGTAAATTTATTAGGAAGATTAAATAGACAAGAACATCTATTAATTCTAATAAGCTAATTCGAGAAGTTTGTCAAGCATCACAATTAAAATAGAAGCGAAGCGAATAAGTAACTAATATAAAATATGCTAACTCACCTAAAACAAATGGGGCACTACACACATCTTCTTATGAGCAGAATATTAAAATGCAGGTACTTTCCTAATAATTCCTTATTTGATGCTGAACTCAAACAGAGCTCATCTTGGCTTTGGAAGTCTTGGTGGAAAGTGAGGTGGATCCTTAGGGAAGGCCTGCTGGTGGGTATAAGAAATGGTGAATCAGTCAAACTCCAGGATCACAATTGGGAGCCTAGTATCAAAAACAGAAGTCCCCAGCTCAAGGATAGCAATGGCAGTGGGCAGCTTAAAGTGGCAGACATCATTGACAGGAACAACAACCAGTGGAATGAAAGGTTAGTTAGAGAGTTGTTTCAAGCAGATGATGGTGCTAAGATCCTAAAAATCCAGACACTTGACTTTATGCTTGAGGATAAATGGAGCTGGTAAATGGGGCAAAGAGGTAAATTCTCTATGGCCTCTTCCTATACTTTCCTCCACTCTAAGGAATTATTGACACTAGACAAAGTAGAAGGTAATAGCACAGTTTTGAGGAATCAGAAGGTGAGGCACAGAACTTGGCATCTCCAACTCAAGGGCAAACTAAAACACTTTCTTTGGAAATGTGTATCAGGTGCTCTATCTATTTGTACAAATCTGAGAAGTAAGAGAGTTGATATGGATGTGATATGTGCTTGTTGTGGTGAATCTGCATAAACAATTGAACATATTCTTCTTGAATGTCCTAAAGCCAAAAATATGTAGAAACATGCCCCAGTTAACTTGGATGGAATCAGAGTTGGCTGCTGTAAGTTTGAAGATTGGTGGGGGTTTGTCTGTTCCATTAATAATGCTGCAGTAGTTGAGGCAAGGATAGAGCTAACCACATATATTTTGTGGTTGCTCTGGAAATCGAGAAATCTGTGGATATTTTAAGGTGTGTGGAGGCCATAAAGGGACATAATCAAGGGAGCTTGGTTTGAATGGCAGGAGGTAGTTGGCATCGGTTCCAATAGAGCTCTTCAGAGGCAAGGCACTTAGCTAGGTCTGTCCAGGATAGTTCAGTGGCTAGGTAGTTTGTTTAATTTTCTCTCCTGATGTATTATCTCTATTGTTCTAGTCATTTTCTTGATCATTGTATTGCACTGGAGGGCTCAGACTTTGATCTGCCTTTGGTGTTATTGTGGGTTGTGTTAGGCTACTAGCATTAGTAGTTCTCTCTGGATTAGCCTCCAGCATTTGGGCCATCCCATGTTTGTATTAGGGTGCTGCCCATAAGACTTTGTATTTTCTTTTCAGTTATTAATGAGATCTCCTGTCGTTATGAAAAAAAAGGAGTATGTCTGCCGCTGTGTTCATAAACCGATGATGATGTTAAAGAACATTTGACATGGATGCCAAAATGTAACACTTCGCCATCTCATCAGCCTTCTTCCACTAGGCATACTTCTCCTTCTCATGCACAGGAGAATCAGCCTTTGGCTCTGCCGGGCAAGCCTCAGTGATCGCAAACTTATAACCCTTAGCAGTCAATACAATGTCTAAGTTCCTCTTCCAATCAGTATAATTAGGGTCAGTAAGTTGATTTTCTTTTAGAATGACAGATAACAAATTGAACGACATGATGAATATAGCCTGAGAAACACGAAAATAATTTTACAGATTAAACACTTTTGAATTTAACAGCTAATATTGACATCCTCAAAACAATATTAACTTAAATTCACCGACATCTCAAAACACCGAGAGTTAATGCATGATACGAGGGTAACCCTACACAACTCAACATTCGCATGAGAAGGGCTTTCAAAGGCCCATTCATTTCCATAATTCAAAACCAAATTCATGACGTATGAAATTAATATTCGGTCTCCATTTGGCCATGCAACAGAATTTAGGGACCCCGAGCGGGGTTATAAATTTAATCGCATTCTAAGTGAATCGCATTTCTCGATCCTGAGTTCATATGAATTCAATTATACGTCATCCGAGTGGAAGCTCGTACTCTCTCATAAGAATCCCTCTAGTCGTCTAATTAGAAATTTGTCCTAGTAATTACCTACAATTAATTTTAGAGATTCACCCTAGGGGGAGCCCATACCGCAATTAATTGATTAACTGGGAAATCAAAAATGGAGGCCTTAGGAATTTTACAATTAACTTTAATTTAAAATCCCTTCTCAAACTTAGTATAATTTAGATAAGGATTTTTATTTATTTAAATATTTATGCAATTCTAAATTAATCATATGTAAATGCAATAATTAATTAACATGCATAAATAAATATGCAATTCCAAATTAATCTCATGCAAATACAATAATTAATTAACATGCATAAATAAATAATTAATGGAATAATGAATTGAAATAAATAAATCCACTAATATGGCCTGTTGTATGATTATTAACAACGATTTCAAATGTGTTTAGCAAGGTATGTTAACTAATATGAACGTAAAGCATGCATCAAAGCGAGAACAATGGCCCCTGTCTGAGGTGAACCGAGGTGAAGGGTGGAGCGGTTTTATATATATCTCAATGTTCAGAGTGCGATCCCTCTACAAGTATAAGGATTTTCTATTTATAGAATCTTTTTGGGCCCCCGTATCTTGAAGTGTACTGTTGCTTTTTCGTAAAGTGGCTTTTTGATGGGCGACCATGTGAGTGGGTTCTACGGGAATGATGAGATTTCTTGTGGTATCAAAGTGTGTCGCGTGTGCGCCTTGTCACCTGCTTTGGGATATGATGACCTCGGTTTGTAATGACTTCAGTCTTCGGTAATCAAGTCGGTTTTCTTCTTGTCGGACCAAAGTGGAGTCGTAGCATGAACTGAAGTAACCATGGTTCAGGCTTGTACCAATAATGTCTTTCTTAACACGTGGTTCCGGGTGCATAATCGTGGATTACCGGGTCGGATAATAACATGGCCCTTAATATTGAGTTCCCATAAACAAAGAAACCTTGTATTCTTTCCATGTTCAACTGAAACTCCCACTGCAGTAGAATCATGGTTGATATTGTACAGCTTGCCTGCCAAGTAAAACTTCTCTACCGCCTAGCAGCTCACCGCCGCCGCCGGTAGTCGGAAACCCGGCGGCGCGAATTTCTTTATTTTTTTTTGCGCGCCTCGTGCGCGTGTCCTCCGGGCTTCGGTCCGGTTGGATTTTCGAGGCTTGTTGATCTCTTGTGATCTCCCAGCAATTAATCTACGATCACAACACGAAAAATATAATTTACGAAATTACATAATCCGATCCTAGATCCAACGAATGGATGTACATGTTTTTCTAAACAAATAATCAAATCTATCGGTCAACCACCGGACGAGTAATTATTACAAACATTCATCAATAAATTCCTCGACGTGTCCGAGGCTTTAAAAATTAATTTAAAACCATACATCACATTCAACAACATTCATCAAACACATAGTCAGCCATTATAGTAGATAAAACTAATTCCTACAAAACCGAAATATGCGAATATAATCCAATATATGGCTACCTTTGAACACATCTTGTCAAATAAAGCCGTAAAAATTCAAAATTATATAAAATGAATTAAACCAAATGCTCTGATATCACTTGCTGGGATCTATGAGGATCTCGTTATGTATAAATCACGAATTCAATAGAAAACGTAAACATATGAGCAGCGGATCTAAAGGTTTGACGTAGAAAACTTACGACTTAAAATTTTTCGCGATCTGGCTGATCTTCCAGATTGTCGTACGCAACACACGAACAATTAGATCACACGAACGGAACTTCTCGAGCTCGCGTGCAATCGGGTCGGGTGCGGTGGTTGGGTCGTGAATGCGGGGCGCGCGGCGTCGCGTGGCTAGCGTGTTGCGGTTCCAGGTTGGTTGCGTCTCGCTAGCGAGGCTGCGGCGGTCCTCGGCTGGTATCGCGGCGGTCCTCGGCTGGCGTCGCGGCTGGTCCGATCGGCGGTCCTCAGGCTCGGGCTCGTGGATTGTCGA